TTGTATCAGAGTATTTTATACAGGGTGGTCAAAAATTGAATTACCGTTTCTCCATATTCAATGGCTAGAAAGTCGAAAATTTTAAATGGAATGCCCCGTATTTTTTTACCCTATCAGAAAGGGAATTTAATTCTCTACAAATTATCTATAAACATTCCTATTTATTGTAGTTTCTCTCATATTGGGAAGTTGATCTCATGGTCTATGGTTTACATTATCGAATGCTCTTGACAGATCCACACTCACTAGTTCCACAAATTTTCTTTGATCAAGTGTCTTCAAGATATCTTGAATTGTATCATTTAATGGAGTATTTATGGATCTAACTTTGCGGTGTCCATGTTGATAGTTAGTTAAAAATTTCAAATATTCAAATAGAATAATCAAATATTCTTGTAGTTTTGAAATTGTAGGCAACATTAATCTGGTTTGCTTATGTCCTCTTTTTTATATACAGGAACTATTTTAGCGACTTTTAATTCCTCGGGGAATATTCCATGTTTGAGGCACATGTTAAAAATGTACACTAAATGAACACCTAAGCTTGATATAGATTTTTTTTAAGAAGGCCATAGACATTCCATATATGTCCTCACTGCTTTTTGGCGCAAATTTCTTTACTATCGACATAATCTCTATAGTATCGGTGGGTCGTAGAAATCATGACGCATTGTTTTGTATTGATAGAGTCTTCATATAGTTGTTTGCTAAATCCGAGTTCATTAAACTCTTCACGTGTAGCATCAATTTTGCTCTTCGTTTTCTTGTTTACCTTTAATTCATTATTTATTAATTGCCATACCTTCTTTTGCTTGTTTGGTGCATTATAGATCTCATTTTCGTTTTGCAATTGCATTTTAATGGCATTTTTTTTTTGTCTGAAAATCGTAAATTTTGAAACACTCCCTGTATATCAAAAACGAAGAGGGCTATGAAAATTTGGTTTGCGCCATTGTAAGTTTCACAAAAAAGTAGCTCATGTTCGCAAAAGCCGCAACTTTCTATCTTTCATAATAACTGAGATACCCTGCAAACCCATCGAAATTTGGACACCCTGTACATTGCGCAAGAATACTTAAAATTTCTATGGTGTTTATTCTATCCTTTATTCTTGTTGGTAAATATTAGTTGGCACGCATACTAGATTGCAGTGTAATTTCTCTTTTAGGACAACATTTGTTAAAAACGGATATCGAATAACTAAAGTATTTCATACTTAGTAATAAACAGAAAATGTGATTTTTTTTACAATCAAAGTGAATCACAATGAAATCACTCTAAAGAACAAAAATATGCTCACTCGCTTAACCACACCTGCAGAATTGTCGATAAAGTTGAGAGGAGGTTTATTTACTATTTTGGCATTTATTTCTCAACCTCTAGCAAGAGTAACACAAAAGAACTAATTTTAAAAATAAGAATAATCAAGCACGCATTCTGTTAAATCTTCACTTTTGCTCTAAATGTGGAGAACATTTTTTAATTGACTGCCATTTTTTTTAATAAGTATAGTATTTATTTCCTTAAATCTCAAAGAATGTTATCACATTGAAACCAACATAGAAAATGAGAAATTTAGATTTCCCTAGCCATACCCTAGCATTCGCTAGTCTAGTCACACTAGATTTAATCTGGGTTAACCACGTCCTCAGTGAAGTTAAATAATAGTATATTATTCAACAAGCGTATAATGGTGGCTGTTACCCACGAAGATGAAGTTGTAATCTGAGTGGGTAACATCCATTATACGCAAGTTGAATACTATACTTTATCTACAACTATTTAATTTTGAAAAAAAAGATCAAAAAAAGGAAAAAGAATAAACTTGATAGTCATTTCAGACATAACCTCAATATAAGAAAGCTGTCATTTCTGTTAATATATTATTTTTTGATTGGTAGGCTGTGTCAGAACTGTGGAATAATGGCTTCATTATTCAACACTTTGTCAGTCATGGGTAATGCATGTCATTACCCGTCAAAACTCAAATGTATAATGAATAGATGACTGACAAAGTGTTGAATAATGAAGCCATTATTCCACAGTTCTGACACGGCCTACTAATCAAAAAATAAAATATTAACAGAAATGACAGCTTTCTTATATTTTTTTAATATATTATTAATAATTTAATTTTTTGTTGTTAACAATATTCTGTTAACCTTTTTTATCAGTATTTTTATTATATTGTGGCTTAATTAGTGCGTACGAAAAACCGAGTCGAATGAGACGTAATCAAACAAATTTGCGTTCGCTTAACGTTTTTAATAATACGCCCCAAGCAAACAGATAACAGAAACGGGTAACAAAAATGTATTTGTGTAAACAATCGGAGTTTTATTGAACACACGTTAAAGAGAGAACAAAAACTAATTATTCGTTTATATATTTGTTGAAGCCATAATATTGAAAGATTTTATTTGAAATGATTGCTTTTAAATTGATTAATTTCTAACAGTTTAAAATCGTTTATGAATCGTTTGAAATTTCAAGATCAGATATATTTATAGATTATTTATAACCGATTGTAACGGATTTATGTTTTCTTTGGGCATCGTAAAATCAAACATCTGTTTGTTTGTTTCTTAAAAAAAATCTCATTTCTTGTTCCGCGTTTCATGTTTTCGCTTATATTTTATGTTTTTATTTATCCGCAGAAAATGGCACGTAAAGTTATTATATAAAAAAATTTGTTTGTAACAAAATTTTTAATTTAATTTTAATTAACTTACCGTTTTTAGTTTAATTCGGAGCTTTTCCACTAAATTTTGAGCTTACAACGAGAGCACAAAACGACAACCACGACGTTTCGTTTACGAATGAGCTTTCCTCTATTTCTTTCGATTCGCAGGTGTCACAGTGCGTTTTAGAACTGAACTCGTCGTTTTTAGTGGGGATACAACAACGATTTATGTTATTTCGTTGTTGTTCTATTTAGAAAATGACCGCAGTATAAATGGGAAAATGATTATTAATTTTATTAAGAACCTAAATGATTCAAAACTTTTTCTATGGAATATAACCATTTTTTGATAGAATCTTCAAGAAAATTACTTAAAGTGTGTTGGGATTTATTTTTTCTAGTGATGTAATTTGTTTAAACCTTGACATTTTTTTATTGTACCATCAGGTTAATTATAAATAATTAGGATTGTTCTTGAAGTCTTTTGACTTCATTTTTTAGCGTTAATTAATTAATTTTTGAATTTTACTTTATTTCGTTTTAAAATAATTTTGTTACATACATTTTTAAGGAAAATCACAAAGCAACTCAAGGCTTTTCTAGAAACGCTCAAAGAATGTAATGTTGTGAATTTAAAAATTTTTAAATCTATACCTTTTCTACTTTTAGTTGTCTATGAATTTGTATTTATGTAAGATATACTTTAAAGATTTAAAATGAATTTAATGGAACAAAAAGATCATGTTGTAACATCCAATGTAATTTGGGCAAAGAAATTATGTGTAGAACTCGTTTTTTCGATTAAGAGTACATGATTAAATGTACTTTATAGTACATTGAGTAGTCTTTATAGTAAAAAATTATAGTAAGATGACTAAAATATGTGGTGACACTGCTAATAGAAGACTAGATACTGCTTGCATAACATCCATTTCTGTTTGCAGAACACTAGAAATTGATAATAGAAAACTACACTTCTAATCTGTGTAATAACAAAACTTCAAATATTGTTTTCTCAAAAATTAAAAGTTATTTTTCAAAACGGGTTGGTTCATTGGAAAGAGGACACTTTTATTAACACTTTGGGAAATTTTCATACTCATATTCCAAGAAATGGATTTTATACGAATT